TGGTTCATTTATTCTCATTTCTTAGTCACTGGATAATGTAGAATTTTGGAAGATCTTTGTTTTTCCTGCAGGGTTGGTGCAGGAAATCCGTCCTGCGATACTCTGCTCTCTTGCAGCGTAAGTGCTGCAGCCTCACTGCAAACAGTGCAGTGCAGGAATGAGCGAAATGGGAAGGTGGCTCGTGCAGGAGAAAATGGTCTTGTTTGAAAGAATGCCTGACAATTACACTCAATTCTATTTTAAAACCTTTGTGCAATGTATCAGACAAATCAGTGCCTCAATCCAAGAGTCACCTGAAGGCAGGATTGAAGTCTCAGGCTTTTTAATTCACGTAGCATGATCAAGAAAAGCTTACTGTTGATCAAAGCAGGAGCAGCCCAACTGCAGATGATCAAAGACCTAGGAGTTAGCTGGTGTACTGGGAAACCAAATCTGCCTCTCCCTAGCAAGCTCAGTAAGCTGCTCAGCTGGAGGTGAGGTTGCAATAGGAGACATGAAGGTTAGAAAAGAAGAAAGTCTCAGTTAGTCAAAAATGGAAAATTACAGAGTGAATAGCATCTCATTTCTGGGCATTCAGTACTGACAGCCATAAAAAAAGAGTCCTCTCTGAGCACTTGCAGCTTTTGTGGTGTTCAGATACAGGATTTGATCTGGAAAAATGTTGTAGATTTGAAAGCTACAATTGACTTGAATGGACATAGAGCAGTGAGTCGTGTGTAGTGCCTGGTACCCTGGGAAAATGCAGTCCCGCGTGCAACTGTGCTGTTTGTTGTGATCTGGTTGTAGTTGTGTTCCCTATTGTAAAGAACCATGAATTCTTGTGTTGGTTTTCCCGTAGGCTTGCGACCTTTGAGGGGTAGAAATTATTTAGATTTCAGCAGGGGAAGCGAAGGCAATGCAGGGAGAGAACATTCTGGCGGTGACATATCAACTCTGTTTTATGGATATGAAACATGACTGTCATTCTTGTAAAGCTGAAACACAGCCCTTTTCCGTAGGAAAAAGAGTAGCATAGTCAGGTTTGTCACTTGTCACTAATCAAGAGCATAAATCAAAATAAACTGCACTACACCCTTGCTTCTTAGCTGGATATCAGACTGAGGAAGATGATGGGGAGTACAGTTTCCATTTGTGCTAATTAAGCTTTCTGACAGGCAAATGCATCTTCATTCACAGGGAACTACATGGTTTAGAGTGGGAGTTAATAGGCAGAAGCAGCACTCAGAGCCCAGGGAGGGGTTGAGACTGATGCTTCCTCTGGGAGGGTGCGGGGCAGCTGGTCTCCAAACTCTCCCAGCAGGACCAGACCCTGCCGAGCGGAGGAGCTGGGTTTAAAGGACATCCGCGGGGGTTGAAGGAACCCATGTTCCTTGTGCTAGAGCCTGGTGTTGTGCAGAAGCTGTATTCTGGGAAAGTACAATGTGAAGCACTTCTGCGGGAAGGGGTTGGCCGGTGCTCCAGGGAGCTGCCTCTACTAATTTGCCTCGGTGTCTGTAGCAGGAGGGGGATTGCTGTGAAGCAAATAAATAGCATGAACACTCCTGGGAGAAAGAGAGGAAACTTTCTTTTTTTAGTCTATTGACCAGATACTGTCTTGCAAATTCCTTAATGCTGTTGTAGCATCATTAATGCTTGCATCCTAAGTGCTGCAGCATCAGTAGCATTAACACTAAGGAGGCTTAGTGTCTGGCTGTCTGCTTCAGATGTGGTTCAGGGCTTATGAATGACAGCCCAGATGATGATTATTCAGTGGCTCAGGCACACTGAGTTAATTTCAGTCGAGCTCACCCCGTGGCCAGTAGCATCTTCTCCCCACTTGGTGCAGAAGTGACACCGCCGTTGGTGTCACCTGCCTTTGCTGCAGGAGGCACGTGTCCCATTGGCAGTGTGTCATCCAGCCTGTTTCACGGGTCCTCCCTCTGCACTTCCACGAAGAGCCAAATGGTGAATTTGACACTCCCAGTGACTCTGCTGGAAAAGCTGGAGCTATTGTGAGAGTTAGAGACTTGCAGGACAGCCCTGTGCTTGTCGAAGCTGTAAGCTAATGGAATAACTCTCCTACAAATGCAATGCTGCCTCATGGATTTCCTTTCAGATCCAGAAGTGGTTTATTTTTTACTTAATCCTTTCCTCCTTACCCTTCTGCCTCCTTGGTCACACATCCTTTTTCATTTCTGTTTTTTGTTTGTGGATTTGGGTAAACAGGCAATGATCAAAGGGAATCTCTGGGACTCAGGAAATTTCACCTCTGTTACATAAAATGACACCTTTGTCTCCAGTGCCGTGGGCTGAAGCCAGCTTTCCCCCGCTGTGGCATTCCCACGTGATAGCATGTGCTGTTTGACATCTGAGCTGCAGTTCTCTAACTTAGCAGCAGAGCCAGAAGTGTGCAGGAAAGATAAAAATACATGTTAATCTAGATTTGTGCCATTCTTATCTGTCCTGAGGCACATACAAGGTACTGAAACCCAGTGTTAGATGAAAGGCGAGGATGAGGCTGATAGCCATTGCTATCCCCCTTACGCCCAAAGAGGTAGGAGTGGTGTGTAACGTGCTGAGTGTTGCGTGGGGTTGTACACCTGCCTCTAGCTATTGTGTAGGACATGCACATTCAGGGTCCCAGCCTTGTCTGACTCAAAGAACCAAAGTAAAGAATGGATACCGCAAAATACAGTAAGAAAAGTTAGTATTGCAGAAGGACGAAAAAGTTGTCTGGACTAGTAGCCAGAGGGGACTCCTTCACCCCTATAAAATTCTGTAGCCAGCAAGAAGTCCTATGGTGTTGGCTCCACAGAGAGAAATTTCAGTTTAGTTTTGGAAACTTACCTGGAGTACATCCACACAGGGCTTTGGCCTGGTGCAACCAGGTGAGCTCTTTATCCAGTTTCAGTTGGAGCAGCTTTCAAAATACACAAGTTGCTCAGCTCGAGCTCAACAAGGCAAGCATGCAGGAGATGTGCCAGTGCAATGGATTTCAGCTACTCCTTAGTAAAGGCTGAATGTCCAGGTGAACGATTGAGTTGGAAGGAGAGCCCAAGCCTTTTGATGAGAGACCAGATGAAGGTTCATGTTACATGAACTTCATCTCCCTTCTGGAGGCTGAGAAAGTCTTTTCCCAGATTTGTCACTGATTATGGAGCGCTTTAAATACATAATTTCCTCTACAAAACTCATAAAAATATATTTGTTGCCTTGAAGACTATGCAAACACATTTCCAAAGTCACATTTTTTAAAGATTGCTGAGCTATTGTTTGTTTCTGACAGTAATCAGTTTACTTCTTTATTAGGAATTTATGATGTTCTCCTGCCACCTTCTAGGCATGGCCTTCTTCCTTCAAGTCTCCAGCTTTGTGTCTCTCACTGGATCACAGAAATGATTGGTTTGGCATTTGACAAAGCTGAGGCGGTGAAAACCTCAGGGAGGGGTGAAGGAGACACATCCTAAAGCAACATTTGACAGGATAGAAACATTCCCAGTTGGTAGCAGATTGCTTTGGGAAACTCTTGGGCTTTTTCCAGTCGCATACTATAGTCCCTTTCTCCCTTCTATAGGTTTCTCTCTTCCCCGCTTTATCAGATTGATTTCTGGATGTACCTACAAGGCAAAATTCAGAAGCTGTTTTTAGTTGCTTCTGGCCTTTGGAGGCCCTGTTGGAGATACCTGGAGATGTTGTTTTCCAGACACTCTTCCTTCCTACAGTTCCCCTGGGAGGTGTGAACACTTAGCACTTCTCCAGAACAGATCAGTTTTGGATCCCCCAAAATTTTTATATTAATAAACATGAACTACTAAGGAAACTAACAAGGCTTTCCTTCTTAAGTATTATATATTCAGACCTGAACAGACATTCAGGTCAAACATGAATTTTGATGTTATTTTAAAATGACACAAAACCAAAATATTACATTTCCAACGATGGTTTAAATAAAGCTCTTCCAGGAATCTTGTGTTTTTCTTTCATATTGAAAATTCAAAAGATAGTTTGCAGTTACAGCCTCATGAGTTCTGAGATTGTAAAGGATCCATCAAAATAATTTGCTCTAGCCTTGGTCATAATACCTATTCCTTCCAGGTTGTCTCCCTGTATTTCTTCATTATGCTCATAACTGCTGTATGGGTATGCGCAGTTCTTAGGTATTAGATTTTAATACAGACTTCTAATGATAAGTGGCGAAACTGATACAGAGCTTGGTTTAAACCCTAAATCTTTTCTGTCATTTCAATACAGTCTCACTGAATTCACTGGACAGCCTGGGCTTTCTCTCCCCTAAACACATGAGTGTTTACCATTTACATAACTACCATTGTGTTTTGTTTTCCCTTCACTCCAGTCTGATGGTTAAGGTAGAGGAATTTAACCAAAAAAGTAAATATTTATGTCTATATTTTAATTAAGAATAGCACTGTCATTTGTGCTGTGTCTCAGCATTCAAATCCTTTTGTTCTCAAAACCATCTCAAATGTTTTGAGAAGAAAATCCCAGCTTCCCTTCCCGTCCGAATATACCAAAAGAGTAAATCCCAACGAAAAGCTCAATTGCGTAGAGGTATGCAACAGTCTCCACAGACAAGATGCAACCTCCAGCACTTTGCTTTCTGCCTAAGAGCAAAATTTAAGGAACTGATTTTTAAACTCTCAGCGCATTCAGACACCCAAAGGATGGGAACAGTGTCCCTTAAGTGATCAGTGCTTTTCCCCTGACCTTCAGTGGCAGCTGCCATGTGCTGACTGCTGGAAAAGGTAGCTGGTCCTTGTTGGTGCCTACAAGACAGATGAACTCTTGTAGAGATGGACAAAGTGGACATGGGTGGCTGTTCTACAATCAGCAGTGACATCTGTGTTTTCCTGTGAAGTAATAACCTGCCTATGGGCCAGACAGTGTAGTCTCAAGTCAGGCAGAAATCATAAATGACAACTTTAAGCAGATTTCTGTTGATGTGTAAGACAAGTATTCCAGTCTAAGGCTTATTTATAATCTTTTTTCTTGTCCTTCTTCAGGTATTTTGAGTTTTATGAAGGGCCTTTGGAGTACAACTCTACCAAATGCCTGGAATTACGGCAGGACATCATTGAGGTGAAGGTTTTGTCTATGTAAGTATGAATGAATGTTTGCTAAAAGGTAACTTCTCAGGCAGGATGAAAATGGTAACTTACAATAAGATTGTCAAAGATGCAAGGCTTAAGAGATCCCATCAACAGGGATCTCATCAGGGATTCCTGAGGTTCTCTTATATGTGCAAATAGTCACATGTGAATTTGATCTGAGGTCCGTTTGAAAAAACTGGAGGCATTTCACGTACATTGAGGCATTTTGGTCAGGCCCAGTATCATTGGTTAGAATGAAATACAGTGTAATATTATTTGTAATGTTATATTCCAGGCCCTCTACTGAGGGTAATTGAAGAGTAAGAATAGCCAGACGGACTCATAGCGAGTGTCTATCTAGCCTAAGGCTCTGTCATTGACAGTGGCCAGCAGTGAAGGCTAAGAAATGAAGGAAAAAGGTGAGCCCTTCCTGATAACAAATAATGACTGGCATGGGGACTTGCTGAGTGGTAGGTGGTGACTAGACTAGTCAGAGTGGACAACAGACCTCTCTGTTAATTTGTTTAGATCTTTTCTGAGCCCATTTGTACTTTTGACCTCCACAATTTCCTGCAGCAGTGAGTTTCATAAGTTAATAACACTCACTAAGAAGTAGGAAAATGTGATTCTGAGAAATAATAAAATATCTATATTTTGTCTTTTGTGGTCCTATATGTACATCAGAAAACTAATGAGTTGAATGAGATGTATCCATGAAGCCATAGAGGTGGAATCAGGCAAAAAAGTGAGGTTGCCAGGGGAGCTCATTGGACAGAGCAAAGCAGGGTATTTTTGTGTCGCCCTTTTGCATTTTCAGCATTGCACTGAATTTAGCTGCTTAGATTATGCCTAATCCCTTACCATATCTAAACCCAGTGGTTTAGTAATCTTACTGACAATCCACAAGGCTTATTAAGGTCTGTAAAGCGCACTGAGAATCTCAATTGAAAGTGCAGCTATACAAGCTCATAGCATTAAGCAATCAAGGCTACAGCAAATACAATTTGTTGCTCCAGGTCAGCATGAATTTTGAGCATGTCTCCCTCGCTAACTTTGTGCACGGAAAAATGTAGGTTATGTCCTTCTCTTGTGTATTTGGTACTGGATGAAGGATACACAAGTAACAACTTTGCACTGCTTGCTGACTTGCAGTGCTTAAAAATAAAAAGAAGGGGTGAGAATGTGACACTTCTGCCAATGTTCTGCTGAAGACAGGGAGTTTTGAACTGCTTCTCTGCATACTTATCAGATGGTGCAGAGAATTACTCGTTTCTCTTCATCTTATCCAATGGCACATAGAAGGTAGTGGACTCCTGCTCAGCTGGATGGAGTTAGCCTTACTTTTACGATAGATGCCATTTGTCATTAAGTTCTTCTACTATGCTGGGTTCTTCTGATGTGCTTGCTTCTAACGTGCTACATTTCCTAAGTCAGCCCTTACTGTAATGGAAGATTTCCAAGTTAATGTGCTCTGGTGGGCTACAGAAAGTACAATATGACCTAATTCCTTCCTGTAACTTCCGCAGCCTGGGAAATCCTAAGTTCTACTCACTTTAAATATATAATTATCTTAAAAGTCTTTGCTTTATTCAAACATTCAAAGCCCTCAAGCCTGAAGAGAACTCATTAAGACCTATCAGTCTTGAAGAAATCTCAGACTTCAAAATTTCCCAGCCAGATTATGACATTTCTCCCTAGCTCTAGGTATTTGCAAGGCCTTCATTATCTCTGTTGTCCAAATACAGAAGAATATGTATGAACTCTAAGGTAGAAGTGGTTGGAATGATATCACCAAAAATGTGTCATCCTGTATCAGCCTAGTGGAAGTAGGGATGTCATTTTTTGATAGAACTAAAACTGTATTTATTAACAGAGAGGGAGGGAGAGATCCTTATGTAAAGAGCTTTTCATGTCCTCTTACCGTCACAGATGCTTATCCCTACACGTGTGCTACTGCAGTTTATAAAATGGATTTACCAACAGTGCTGTTCTGTAGGATCTCACGGATTAAGATAACCTCACCCAAATATAATGGCTGTTGGCCAAATTATCTGAAGTATCCTCTTTTCCAGTACCCCCTCTGCTGGGCCCTTCTGCTAGGTGCAACTTTTCCCCCCAAAGCCACTGTAGTTGCCAGACACTCATTAGCTTCCCAGCAGACTGTGGACAGACTTTGGTACAGTAGATGCTTCTTGCTTGATATTGCATTTTTTATCCTGAAGAAATGGAGAATGCCTATCAGGGAATAGAAAGCAGTCCCAAACTTCTGAAGAGCTCCATCAGTACCTGTGTATACATGGCTTAGAGTTGCTATGTCTGAGCAGAAAAAGAAATAAAAACGTTAAATTTTGCACTGGATAGACTGGCTGGTTTGCCCTATCAAAAGCCTACTGCATGGTACCCTGGCTGCAGCTGTTTTAGGAAATGAAGCCCTTGTAATAAAGTGAATTTTCATTTTCTTTCTTTTTATCTTTTAGGGTGAAACAAACGGAATTGTTTGACAGATGGAAGAGCCTACAGATGTGCAAATGGGAGATGAATATCACAGAAGCTAATTTATTCAAGTAAGAATGGTCCACATTAATGAGACTGAGTAAGATTTACTTTAGTTTGAGTTTAGTTTCCTATAGAGAGATCAAACCTTCATATGGATAGCAAGAGTAAGCATTATAACACTGTTACTGTTGGAGTACCATCCTTTTGAATAAATATGGACTTTTTTTTACTTTAAAAAAGTCAACAGCAAGAGTGAAAGAGAGCTCTTCTGGCACGTGGGACAGTCTTCCCAGGAAAGGCAGGGAATTTGGTATGGGAAAGACTTTTCCAGGTATGATTCAGGCAGACATGAGGATGGAGCCAAGACTTAATGGCTACACCTAATACATCAACCTAACTCTCTGGTGGTGTAAAATGGTAATATCATTGGTGACACTGCAAATTTGGCCTACAAAATACTCAAACCGGAATTTTTCTGTGGTGTATTAGGTACTGCCAGACTCTGTTTATCACTTCCTTTTTTTTAATGGCTTCTCAGCTATTACTCCCTGACTATCTAGATATTTTTTCTGGTCTTCGGAGACCTCTGCAGTTTGTTTCTGTAGTACTCGGTCTTTCTTCATGTGACTTCCTCTTTGCTGAAGGTCATCCGTGGTCCTTTCAAGATACAACTTTTGAAATTGGTCTTGTGAAGGCAATAGTAGAATGAAGCCAAAACAATATTTTAATGTTGTATCAATATACATCAATGTACATATATTCAAGGGCCATATTTGAGTAGGTCTAGAGAAACCACATTAATTCAGAGTAAGTGGAATATAGACTGGTTAAGTCTGTAAGTCACTGGCATGATTCAGAGCTGTTGCTTAGAATAAGGCCCCACAACTTTCTCCCAAATTGGCTTGCATGATTGCAGGAAATAGCTGTCACGAGTTAATGAGACAATGTGAGAATGCATGTGCTGAGTTAGTCATTAATGTCTTTAAAAATAACTAATTGTTAGTCCCGGGCTCATAGCAGTTTTTCCAGCACGAGCTCCACACAGACATAAGTTTTTTCAGGGTTTTTTTAGTATATTTTTTTCTGGAAATTACTTGATGGGCAATTATCAGAGCCCATTTTGAAGACAGGATCCATTCAGGATGAGAGAGACTGCTGGGAGTAAGAGAACTAATGATTGTGCCCAGAGTGCAAGGAGCACATTGCAGTATGGAGGCCAGCCCAGAGGTGGGAGCAATAAGAAAGGACTATCTAAAGATCATCAGGAGGACCATCACTCTCTCTCAGGCCACCAACACCAGCATATTAAGCAAAGAACCCCTCTCCATCCTAGAGAGTGCCTTGAGAGAAAGAAGAGATGAAAGACTCCTATCGCTGGCTATACCTGCCTGCCTGATATATCGCTGCTTAAGAAACTCCCACTGGCACCTAGATGTAACCTAACCTTTGTTAGCTGGTTCCAGGAACAATAATCATGCTAGTCACAAAAAAAAAAGTTCAAAGTCTGTTTCATTTTTGTCTTATGGGACAGAGACTTCAGTGTGTGAATGTGTGGGGAAACTAGTCCCTTAAAAGCAGACCAAAGTCTCTGAGGTTGGAGGGTAGGCTAGTAGGAGGCTAAAAGGTGGTGGTCTAACAACACTGAGTTGTGGGCTTTTGAACTTTGCCAGTTCTGGACCATCAAGCGAGATGGGGAGAATCCAGCAAAAGTTAAATGGCAGCAGGGAGGGAGGGAGCACAAAAATCACACTAGCTTTTGTATCTGGAGACTAAGGAAAACAATTTCCTTGACAGTCTTCCTCCATCAGATACGAAACATTTACACTAAGGAACATGCCTCTGGAAAACCAATTGGACGTTAGATTAAAGAGGAACATGCCTCTGGAAAACCAATTGGACATTAGATTAAAGAACAACATCTCTTTCAATTCCTTAATCCAGAACTAATGAAGAGTTTTTTCATATCTCAAATATCACAATTCAATCCCACTACCTGCTTGTAATTATTTAATGATTTTGTTATTAGAAATTATTCATTGACTTATTCAGTCTCAATTGCTACCTTGATCTGATCACCATATTGTGTCATTCTGCATGAGTCAAGTCTATAACAGTAATTGGACATCACTGAAATGTTTGTATAATTCTGTATTTGCTTTCTGGTGCTTGTAATAAAGCCCATAAAGAAGACTGGCTTATTCTTCCAACTCATAATGAGGCCACATACCCGAGAGGCAAGGTATTTAATCTAGGTTATTTGAGAGCCATTTGGCTTTGTCTTCATGTTTGTGCATTTGCCATGACATGTATTTTTCATTAAAGTGTAAGATGCATTGACTGAGAAACGAACCAGCTCTGGAGTAAGAGTAAGCTGAAGTCAGGGCTTTCAGTTCCACCAGTAAAAGGAGAAAAGCATTCAGGGAAAGATGGGAGCTAAGAAATGGACCCCTATTTGGAAAGCTGCTTTTCCTATTTAAATGTCATATGAAACTTATGGTAAGGGGATCAGAGCTGAATGTTATTTCTCTCATGCCGTGAATCCCATTCTTGAGATTTCAAAACTATTCTTGTTTGCATTGGAATACCTGCCATTTTGTCCCAGCGACCAAGAAAATTTTGACCGTTTGTCTGAGATTTTGGAGTTGTAGCCATGACCAGTCTGCCTGGCACCCATCCGTCAGGGCCACATCATCTTCCTGATGCACATATGCAAGGTCAAAGGCAAAACTAAGACCTTTAAAAGTTTTTTTTTGTAATCAAGTCTGCTGTGCTCCACAGTAGTCTGGTAAGCGGGGTACTGTCTTTAGGTATTGCTGTGTTTAAGTCCCTGCCCTGCCCAGCTTCCTCATCCCCAGCTGAATACTTTAACCCCTGCGTTTCCTGCCCAGTGATGAATAAATACTTTACGAAAAGTGGAAGACCTCTAAAGCAGGGAGGGACTAATTCATCAGGATGCTTTCCCCGGGATATTGGGGGCAGAAGCTCAGCTTTGGGGTCTGGAGCAGGGCAGAATCTGCACATGCATTTCCTGCAGCCTAGAAGAGACAGGTACAGGGATCTCATTTCTTCTGGTTTTTGTTTGGGTTTTTTTTACCTAATTTCCTCAATCAAGGAAAATTTCACTGAATCTGAAATTTTCTAAAGGAAAACCCAGCAAACCACCATTTTACTCTCCTACAGCTAAAAAGTTTCTTTTTGCTGAAAAATACCTTGTTAGGAGTGATAGTAATTGCAAATCCTAAAGCATGCTATCAGCTCCTTGGTCTTATTTCTCTCTTTTTTGTTTTACAGGTCTACTTTGTCGAGGTGTTGCAATGCCCCTGCCTTTCTGTTCACCACCCAGAAAAATACTCCCTTGGGAACTAAACTGAAATATGAAGTGGATACTAGTGGAATCTTCCATATCAACCAAGAAATCTTCAAAATGTTTCCAAAGGTGCCTCATGCCTCTGTCCGTTTGCAGAATCAACTTCACCCTACTTGCTGCATTAGATGCTATCCTATAGCCAAGCATTTAGCAGTTGGCTGTTTGACATTTCTACAAACTTCATTGCATATATTTTGAAAATGTTTATTTTTGTTATGATATTTTAGCTGATTATCCTATGTTCTAGTCATCATCTGCTCTAGTATACAATATATATATATTTTCCTGCAGAATATTACTGACCTAGCAGCAAAGTGGCTAATGAAATAACTTAAGAAAGCTGAGTAAAAGAGGCACTTACTGATCAGAACTTTTTGAAAGTACAATATTCACATACAATAAATCCAACATTTTGGGTGGGTCTGCTTATTTAGGGGCATGGTTATTTTATAATTCATATTCACAGTGACTAAGTATTTTTATACTGATTTCTGTTTGCAGCTTATCTCTGAACAGGCTGCACAATTTTAAAATGTATTCATCATAATGATTATTCAAAACCTTTTCAGCAAATAATCCTTGACCTGAGGGTCATTCAAAGTTATAACCAGTGGCCAATTCCCATTGCACATAGTGACTGATGTGCAGAAATGGGCTTATGTGACTACTGATTTATCATGGAGCACACCTTATGAATTTAAAATGGCATATTTGGAGGGGATAACTGAAATTTATCCCTTTCAGAAAGTCAGAAAAATATGCAAGTTAAGTACTTAGATTTTTGTCATTAACGTTGTCCTTCAGGGCCTAGCCACTTTTAATCCATTTGCTTTCGGAGCACTACTAAGAGGTAGGGCAGTGCTGTTACCTAAATGTGCACATGGGGAACTGGGGCAGAGCAGGGGAAAGGCTCAGATCCAGGAAAGCACTTTGGCATCTGGAGACTTGCGAAAAATGAGTACATCTAAGTCCAGGTGTATTATCCTCAAAACCCTGCCTGATTGCGCAGATGAATGGATGAAAGACTAGATGCCTACGCTTTTGCTAGGGGTGTCCTATAGCTGCTGTTATATTTATCCAGGTATGCCTTGAGGATGCTTTGCCGGCTCTATCCCATGCCAAAGTGCCTTTGGGATTCACTGGGCAGCACCTATGTGGTCAAAGCCACCCTCTGCCTAGGAGCAGGGCTGCAGCATGGCAAGCGTAGGAGATAAAGGGCTGAAAGCCTGGGAGCACGACTGTAAGAGCCTTGTGCTGAGTGCGGACACCTGGCTTCTGATCTCCCTTTCAGGACTGCCGAGGCATTGTGTTAAGAAATCTCTGGATAAAGCACAGACAAGTCTATATTGCCACTCTGTTAGACAGCTGCTGCTTTTCTCAGACAGGTGTAATTGCATGCCCTTTTGCCTTTTTGCTTATGAATACTATGGAAAGATCCTGGGAATAATCACCTAGAAATGTCATGTCACTATCGCATCTCTCTAGTTTGCGGTATGAAATTATTGATAAAATATGTATGTACCAAAACGAGCACTCTCATGCTTATATAAACACATCTCTACATATTCATAAGGTGTAGCGCGGCTCAGTTCTGCGCCCCAGCCCTCTCACCCTAACGGCCCAGTTCTGTTCTGGGAGATGTGATTTTCACCCTCTCCTGCTTCAGCAGCAGCTGCATGTCTGCATACGAAGACAGAATTTTGCCTGAAGATTGCAGAAAGGTGCATCCTACACGAGTCCAGAAAGGTGCCTGACCAAAGGCTCTAGGCACTCCTGGTAGTACAAGTGCTAATTAATGATCATTAACGCTATTAGTACAATTAGTGGTAGCAAGCACTAAAATTTGGGCTAGGTTCTGATAAATAGCTGTAATGTGCTGTCTGACTTAAAGAGACTTCTTGGGCTTTACTAGCTGCTCTGGAACTATGTGTGCAGACTTCTCAAAAGCAGGACATCAGAGCCTGAGGAGCAAGCAGTTTGCAGGCAGCTCAGAAGGCAATGCCTGGGGAACGCTAATTTTATGGTTCATGCCCTCATGTGGAAATCAGAAGGGAAAGCAAGTTTCTAAAATGACTTCTTCCGTTATTAAGTCTGGACAAAACCATGTTACTGCTTTTTTTCCCTCTGAGTTAGTTGCCCATACTATCTCTAATTGCACAGAAAACGATCCCATCCGTTTAGGTACACCATGGAATATTGCGGGCCAGAACTAGTGTCAACCTCCTATGATTAGTGCATCTGCAGCAAGATGCAGCTGCACCAAAAAAAAGGAAAAAGTAAAAAAGGGACTTGTTGCGGCCATGTTTCGGGATATTTAACTGTTTCCTTGCTGTGATGTTGCAGGATATGCCGTACCACCGCTCCCAGTTTAAGAAATGTGCAGTGGTCGGGAACGGAGGAATTCTGAAGAACAGCAGATGTGGCCGGGAGATTGACAGTGCAGACTTCGTGTTTCGGTAATCGCCACAGCACCATTTTTCTTTTTGCCTGTTTTAATGACAAATAAAGGATTGCAAAGCTGTTCTCTCTCACATGGAAACACAGGATTTGCCAACCTGGCCATATCAAGCCTGCTTCTTGCACAAAAAGTGACGTTTCGAAAAAAACACCTCACTGTATAATATTTATTTAAAAATTATGCTTTGAGGAATTATTTCTCCCTAACTCCATGTGGTTAATCATTGACTCACTGACAAAGTTTGACATCCTCGTTCAGGATGTCCCCTGTTACTCAGGTTGTGGGTTTATCCTTCCGTGGACATTAGTCCAGGAGCAGTGTCCTGTGAATGTGGCCGTAATTTTCTGGGGCAGTTCTGAACCAGAGGTACAACCTCTATTGTGTGACAAGCGGCTTGGCCAGATGTTAATAGCTCCACGCTGTGCAGCTCACATGCCTCAGAGGTGTGTTTCTGAAGTAGTGCAGAGCTCAAGTGCTGGATAATACGTGTCACAGTAATCAGTACTGTAGACTCCAGGGTGTGCAGAGATGCCTGAATAACTTTGAAGGTTGAGTGTCTTCATATTGTGCTCCCCACCATATGTGGAATTATCCAGGTTTTGCATAGACTGGGACATCCCACGACTTGTGTCCCTGGGTAATGGAATTCAGCAGCACTTTTATCATCTTAATATATATGGGAAAGACTTCTTTATTATTGTATTGGGTTTGCATGTCAAGGTTTTGGTAGCGGGAAGGCTACAGGTGGCTTCTGTGAGAAGGTGCTAGAAGCTTCCCCTGTGTCCAATAGAGCCGATGCCAGCCGGCTCCAAGGCGGACCCGCAGCTGGCCAAGGCTGAGCCCATCAGCGATGGTGGTAGCGCCTCTGTGATAACGTATTTAAGAAGGGGGAAAAAAAAATGCAGAAGTTGCAGCCAGAGAGAGGAGTGAGAATATGTGAGAGAAACAACTCTGCAGACGCCAAGGTCAGTGACGAAGGAGGGAGAGGAGGTGCTCCAGGTGCCAGAGCAGAGATTCCCCTGCAGCCTGTGGTGAAGACCATGATGAGGCAGGCTGTTCCCCTGCAGCCCATGGAGGTCCACGGTGGAGCAGGTACCCACCTGCAGCCCGTGGAGGACCCCACGCCGGAGCAGGTGGATGCCCGAAGGAGGCTGTGACCCCGTGGGAAGCCCGCACTGGAGCAGGCTTCTGGCCAGACCTGTGGACTCATGGAGAGAGGAGCCCACGCTGGAGCAGGTTTGCTGGCATGACTTGTGACTCCGTGGGGGACCCACACTGGAGCAGTCTGTTCCTGAAGGACTGCACCCCATGGAAGGGAC